TGTCGTTGACGGCGTTGCTGAAACGTCTCCGTCCGGTCTGAGTCTTAAAGGGAAGGAAAAAGAGTTCGGGTCACCCAGAGTTTAACAAACACAAAGGTCTGTCTGTGGTCCGACCCGGTCCACCGTCTCACCCCTCGGCTAAAAGGCTCCATTCACAAAACCTCTGTCACGCTGCAGCTCCTCGGGCTCTGGTTCTGACCCGGTTTCACACAGACTTAAACGGGCCTTACCTTGTAAACGAGTAAATAAGGGTCTAAACTTTATTCTCCCTCTCTCAGTCAGTTACAAAACAGTGTCCTGCTGCCGCTGGCGTCAAGAACGCATCCGCCTGGCGTGAGTCTGTTCTCTTCCTCTTTTATCGGGTCGAGAGTCGGCGGCGCCCAGAGTGAAACTGCCGCTGGTTAACAGCTCGTTTGACGAGATCAACGCCGTCAGAGCTGACCAGCTTGGTGTTTTCTATCACTAAGTGCAGTATTTATTATTTTTCTGGGCAACTCCAGTTCACCCAGAAGAGCAGACTGTGCAATGCTCTGAGACCCAAGTGGCCAGCCATGAGACAGTCTCTCCAGCGTGTCCTGGGTCTTCACCAGGGTCCCCTCCCAGTCGGACATGTCCAGAAACACAGGTGAGGGTAGGAACGTACACCCACCGGTAAACGGAAAGCTTCCCTTTGCAGCTCAGCTCCCTCTTCACCACAACGGACCGGCACAAAGTCCACAATACTGCAGAAGCTGCACTGGTCTGCCTGTTATCTCCTGCTCTGTTCAAAATGCAGATGGGTTAGATGCATGTCGTGCCAACGGTGAACACCGTGGCGACCGTCACATCCACATCTCGAGCTGTAACGGTGGATTTCATTAGCTTCACTCGTGAGACATCAGGCTGAGTATTACAGGAGACAATCAGTGCTTTATTGTCTCATTTTTAATGATGTCATCTATTTTTATCTAAAAACATCCAGTGAATCTCAAGAAAGACCAATAATTTTGATAATATTTAGATAAAGAGCTGCGAAACGCACACACATACTGGAGGAGGACCATGTTTGCTCCTTTTCACACTAAAATTTGTGTTGTTGTTGTTGTTGTTGTTGTTGTTGTTTAACAAATATATTTTTATTTGGCATTCATTTATTTTTCTTCTTTTTAAAATTTTTCTTTCTGTAAAACTATTAGCAGCACGGTGGCGCAACTGCTAGAGCCGCTGCCTCTCAGCAAGCAGGTCCCTGGTTGAAATCCCGGTCCGGGGGCCTTTCTGGGTGGAGTTTGCATGTTCTCTCCGTGCATGCGTGGGTTTTCTCCAGGTACTCCAGTTTCCTCCCACAGACCAAAAACATGCATGTTAGGCTAATTGGTAACTCTAAATTGTCCCTAGGTGTGAGTGAGAGAGTGAATGGTTGTTTGTCTCGTTTGTCTCCATGTGTCCCTGTGATGGACTGGAGACCTGTCCAGGGTGTCCCCCACCACACGCACAGTGATTGCTGGACATGGGCACCAGCGACCCCCGTGACTCAAAAATGGAAGATGCGGGTAAAGATAATGGATGGATGGATGTAAAACTATTGGATGGATTGTTGTGAAAATTATCTGAAAGTGAAGCTAAGAAGTATTTATGTTTGTTTACAAGTACACACTTTATTATTATTATTATCATCATCATTATTATTATTATTATTATTATTAATATTCAAAGTAAGAAGTCTTAGTCACGCCAAAACAGGCTGCATCTTCCAAATCTCAGTTCTTATTCTCACATGTTTGTAAATGCATGTATGTTTTATTTTTTAACTTGTATGTTTTATTTATTTATTTATATATATATATATATATATATATATAGATATATCAGTTTTTTTTTCTGGGCCACCAGTAAAACCTGCCTGGAACTGGTCCCACAACCTTAGCCCAACTAGAACTCCCAGTTAATTCAAATGTACATAATTTTGGGCGAACATGTAAACTGCACACAGAAACGACCCAGCCGGGAGTTGAACCTGCAACTTTTAGATGCAAGGGGATACTTGCACCCTTCTAACAACCACATCAAAAGGAACAAAAGTCTTTGAAGTGGAATGTAAAGAAAAGTGCAGAAATAACTATTTTTATATTTTTCCCATGAGATTCTGTGCATTTCTACATTTCTGATGATCCACTGTTGTTGGGTTTTATTTACACACTTTCAGCCAAACGTAACCCGAGCGTGTGCTCGCATTAGGTGCACATAACACACGCCTCTGAGTTTTAACTGAGCTTCCACAGATGCTGCTCTGTCCGTCACCACGCTCATAAATCAGTTTATCACATCCACACATCTATATTTAATTTGCATTCATTTATTTCAGTCAAATGTGGCTTTAATGTGAAGCAACTGACATGGAAGTCAATCTGACTTCACACGGTCCCCCTGGTGGATCCAGCAGCCAACTGCGTCAGAAGCTGCAGGTTTCATGTCATATTCCAGTCAGTGAGTCAGAAACCACCGGAAGGATGTGGAAACACTCGTGTCAGATTCATGTTAGAAAAGCTCGGTCCTGTAATTAAAAGTGTTGTTCTGTGGGTTGAGAAGGCCGAGACGTGAACACAACCAGGATCCCTGATGTTCACCTCTAATGAAGCTTACTGGTGAAGCATCAAAGGTCAGGGCTCAGGTGATCAAAGGTCAGGGCTCAGGTGATC